TGTTTGAAAATTTTCAAATTTTTTAGTAACCTACCACTTTTCTTTTTACTCACCCCAACTTGGTTTTAACCAAACCTCAAGTGAATGTTCCTTACTTTTTATGGCAAAGAAGACAATTTAGAACAATTTTAAAGGTTCAAAAATGTTTTTTAGAATACCACAAAACTCAATAATGAACTATCTTTTAAATTATGTACAAATATCAAGTTCATCACTAGACTATGATCTAAACTATTAAGCTCAAAAGGTTTAGCAAATTCTCACTATCAACAAATGTCTTGATCATATCTAATGCTTCCACAAAATAAAAATAATCATAAGATTAAACATGAATCAAATGTATTAACAAAGCTTATTAGTTATCCTATGCATATAGTAAACAATGGAGGTCTCTCACAAATTTGTGGCTATTGAAACCTAAGTGAAACAAGCATTCAAGCATAGTTACATAATGAAATAAAGATACAATTTCACAAAAAAAAAATTCTTAAACATTATAGCATCCTAAAAAGAGGTAACCATGTATCTTACTTGCATTCATGGTATACAAATACTATCATCACCATCCAAACTTAGGAGAATCTTCATTGGATACATTTAGCGAATAGAAACCAATCTAGAAGTTTCCACATTTAACCACCAAAGAAAAACATTAAATTCAAAGCAAGTTGTCAATCAACCATAAAAGCTAGATATTGTCCATTCTTTTCAAAAAGGTCTGCCCTTAGGTCCACTTCAGAAAAGGTAATACAATAGTACTACACAAAACATTACAAAAGTGTCGCAGCAAAAACTTACCATCCTTCTAGAATCTGTCATGTTCGCTGTGCGAACAATTATTCGCCTAGCAAACTCTTATTTGCCCCAAGTATGCACAACTAACACAGGGCGAACATGATAGTAACTTCAAAAATTCTGGTTTTTTAAATTTTCTTGTTTTAGCAAAACACAATTTTATACTAACGAAACTAACAAATGCAATTAGAAAAACAAGAATGCTCACAATGTTGAGGTGCCTCCCAACAAACGTTTTGTTTAACGTCGTTTGAGCTCGACGATCAAAAGCGACTCAAGGGTCGTCAAACGAAATTTTTCCCGCATCAGTAACAACTTCACCCCCAAGAGACAACTTCAACCTTTACCCATTAACTGTCTAAATCTTCTTTGATGAAGGGTCTTCAATAACAATTTCTCCCTAGTGTTTGGTTTCCCGAATCCCAAACAGAACAGACCATTTTGACCTAAACTTGCCCGGAAACAATTTTAATCTAGAATTAAACAGTAAGGCCAATTGCCCTTCATTGAAGTCCTTCCTCACAATCTTCTTGTCATGATACCTTTTTACTTTCTGCTTGTAAAGTTTGTTGGAGTCATAAGGTTGAAGTCGCAATTCATCTAAACCATGAAGTTGCACTTTCCTCTTCTCACCGCTTAAAATGGGAGCAAAATTCAAAAAATTTAAGGCCTAAAAAATCTTATGCTCCCACTCTACTGGCAAATGACAAGTTCTAAGAAAAATGGGTTGTTATCGTCTCCACAGGAATTGTCTGATATCTTAATGCTTGCCTTTCAATAGTTTAAAGTTCTAAGAAAAATGATTTTCAAATTTTAGTTCATAAATTGTCACGAAAGTTGATGGTTCAAATGAAAAATTGACTTTTGTATCGAAGGTCGTGGTGATCTATCATATAAGACTATTAATACGCTCTTGGGGACTAATTCAAATCCGAGCACAGAATAGGTAGCGAAGTAATTGTCTAAACAACTTGATAATACTCATATGAACTATATTTCATAATCATGTATATTGTATTATGTGATACAATAATTACAATAAAATGGGAATTGGAAAAACCCATTTATGGTACTATATAATCCAAAACTAGTAATTCTCAAAGATACATTTTATATACTCACGGACTAATGAGAGTATCTAAAGCGTAAACTGGGTGCGATTTAGATTAGATGGTAAAGTTCCACAAAGACACCTCCTCAACTTCAACTTGATCAATATTACGCCAATCATCCCTACCATATATCATAAATGGACTGGTAGGACTTCGTAAAGGCTCATCTGCCATACTCTGAAACCAATCATGCAACACTTGCTCCTCAAATATGGAAACACCAGGAACTTCCACACACAATTCTTTCAAACTTTTATTATACATTGGTATATAATAAACTATGGGTACGTTCCACAACGATTTTCTAGATTAACTGTGATCTAATGTAATTTATTTATTGCTGCTAGGTTTCTAACCCAGTATTGTATATATTACAACGGTTGTTAAGCATAAATGTTGTGATATATCACACGCTTTCCAGAATACAACAACGGTCTCTGGACTGTGATTATAAGTAGCGCATTTACGACAACACTGTACACAATAATGCCTTGATTTGCGTGATTATATGTATTTTCCAACCGTTATTAAATGGATTTTCTATAGTAGTGCGTGTTTGCAATTGCAGTGCAATTTCACTCACCTGACAAGCAATGCAAATGACAATTCAACTCATATATTCATCCAATCAATCAAAATGAAATCATGAAAGCAAGAAGATCACTAAGGTCTTTAAAGGTTGTAACTTGGTTAGGTTCACAACAAAGGGATATTCTAAGGCCACGAAATCAAAGTTGCCAATGCAAAAAAAATATTCATTATACAAGGTTATGTACACATTACAACTTCATCCAGCACTTTCTTTTCTTCATTGGTCACCCTTCCAAACTTATTTTAGGCACATTATTCTCTATTTTTTTCTTTCAAACAAGCATGCTTTTTTTTTCCACATTCATATTCACAATTTTCTTTTTCAATGTCTGTTTGAAATTGTTCAAATTTTTGAGTAACCTACCACTTTTCTTTTTACTCTCCTCAACTTGGTTTTAACCAAACCTTAAGTGAATGTTCCTTGCTTTTTATGGCAAGGAAGACAATTTAGAACAATTTCAAAGGTTCAAAAATGTTTTTTAGAATACCATAAAATTCAATGATGAACTATCTTTCAAATTATGTACAAATATCAAGTTCATCACTAAACTATGATCTAAACTATTAAGCTCAAAAGGGTTAGCAAATTCTCACTGCTCATTGGTAAGTTACTTTTTGGGATTTGGTTATGCTCAATATCAATAAATGTCTTGATCATATCTAATGCTTCCACAAAATCAAAATAATCACAAGATTAAACATGAATCAAATGTGCTAACAAAGCTTATCAGTTATCCTATGCATATAGTAAACAATGGAGGTCTCTCACAAATTTGTGGCTATTGAAACTTAAGTGAAACAAGCATTCAAACATAGTTGCAGAATGAAACAAAGATACAATTGCACAAAGAAAAAAAATCTTAAACATTATAGCATCCTAAAAAGAGGTAACCATGTACCTTACTTGCATTCATGGTATACAAATACTATCATCACCATCCAAACTTGGGAGAATCTTCATTGGATACTTTTAGCTAATAGCAACCAATCTAGAAGTTCCCACGTTTAATCACCAAAGAAAAAACATTAAATTCAAAGTAAGCTATCAATCAACCATACAAGGTAGATATTGTCCCTTCTTTTCAAAAAGGTCTGCCCTCAGGTCCACTTCAGAAAAGGTAATGCAATAGTACTACATAAAACATTACAAAAGTGTCGTAACAAAAACTTACCATCCTTCCAGAATTTGTCATGTTCGCTGTGCGAACAATTATTCGCCTAGCAAACTCTTATTCGCCCCAGGTTTGCACACCGAACACAGGGCGAACATGACAGTAACTTCAAAAATTCTGGTTTTTCAAATTTTCTTGTTTTAGCACAACGCTATTTTATACTAACAAAACTAACAAATGCAATTAGAAAAACAAGAATGCTCACAATGTTAAGGTGCCTCCCAACAAGCGTTTTGTTTAACGTCATTTGAGTTCGACGGTCGAAAGCGACTCAAGGGTCGCCAAACAAAATTTTTCCCGCATCAGTAACAACTTCACCACCAAGATACAACTTCAACCTTTACCCATTAACTGTCTAAGTCTCCTTTGATGAAGAGTATTCAATAACAGTTTCTCCCTAGTGTTTGATTTCCCGAATCCGAAACGAAACAGACCATTTTGACTTCAACTTGCTCGGAAACAATTTTAATCTAGAATTAAACAGTAAGGCCAACTGCCCTTCATTGAAGTCCTTCCTCACAATCTTTTTGTCATGATACCTTTTCACGTTCTCCTTGTAAAGTTTGTTGGATTCATAAGCTTGAAGTCGCAATTCATCTAAACCATGAAGTTGCACTTTCCTCTTCTCACCACTTAAAATGGGATCAAAATTCAAAAAATTTAAGGCCTAAAAAGTCTTATGCTCCCACTCTACTGGCAAATGACAAGTTTTGTCATAGATCATCTTAAACAGTGTGAGACCTATCAGAGACTTAAATGCGGTCCAATAAGCCCACAAAACTTCATCAAACGTGAGCGCCCAATCCTTCCTAGAAGAAGACACCGTTTTCTCAAGAATTCTCTTGATCTCACAATTTGACACTTCAGCCATTTTGTTCGAATCGTAGTTATAGGGGAGTTTTTGTTATCGTCTCCACAGAGATTGTCCAATATCTTAATGCTTGCCTTTCAATAGTTTAAAGTTCTAAGAAAAAGAATTTTTAAATTTTAGTTCATAAATTGTCACGAAAGTTGATGGATCAAATAAAAAACTGACTTTTGTATCGAAAATCATGGTGATCTATCATATAAGTCTATTACTACGCTCTTCGGGACTAATTCAAATCCGAGCGCAGAATAGGTAGCAAAGTAATTGTTTAAACAACTTGATAATACTCATATGAACTATATGTATATTGTATTATGTGATACAATAATTACAATAAAATGGGAATTGGAAAAACCCATTTATGGTACTATATAATCCAAAACTAGTAATTCTCAAAAGATACATTTTATATACTCACGAACTAATGAGAGTATCTAAAGCCTAAACTGTGTGCGATTTAGATTAGATGGTAAAGTTCCACAAAGACACTTCCTCAACTTCAACTTGATCAATATTACGCCAATCATCCCTACCATATATCATAAATGGACTCGTAGGACTTCGTAAAGGCTCATCTGCCATACTCTGAAACCAATCATGCAACACTTGCTCCTCAAATATGGAATCACCTGGAACTTCCACACACAGTTCCTTCAAACTTTTATTATCATCTTCCATAATACAATAATTATTAATATCGCTGTTGCAAACATCAGAATCACTAGTTATAATCAGCTCTTCATTAATGTCCTCAACCGCAAATGCTAAAGCAGCCTCCGCCGCCATTTTCCTAATCTCCTTAGCATTGGTAGACACCGGCACTGGAAACCGCCAAACCGAGTCAGCAAAGTTGAGACAAGCTGATTTACCACGAAGCGCCAACGCAGCAACGTCGTGTGCACGAGCCGCCATCTCAGGCGTTGGGTACGTTCCTAACCAGATCCTCGTGGACTTGTTGTTCGGAACACGCACCTCACAAACCCACTTGTTGTTGTTCCTCCTTCGTACTCCTCTATATACGGGATGTCTTGTCTCCTTGAATTTTCGTCTCCCAGCACGCCTCTTTGGTTGCTCCGACGCTAGCAAGATTTCTTCGTAGCAACTTGTTTCCGATAATGATGAGGGTGGATAGTAGGAGTACTCTGATATGTGTCCGTAACTAGACTCATCAAGTGATGATTTCATTTGTATTGTTTTGCTTTGTGTATTACTTGACGGATGAATGAGTGAAGTATATATAGACTATATAGTACTAGTTTTTGGAGGTTTATTAGGAAATGTTGCACGTGGCTACGATGTGGACACGTACACGGAAACAGTTGGTTTTTGTTTTTCTTGCGGGGCCAGTGATATAACAGCAAATCAACGGTTTGCACTTGCTTTTTGCGTCGGATATTAACATTAAATTTTTTGGGAGAGTAGGCTCACAAGATTCAGTGAACTAGAGTCTAAAACGTGTTTCTATATTTAACGAAGTCATCATCATGTTAGTATTAGTAATACTAAATAAATTTAAAGTGCAAAAGTTCAATGCCAGGTGTGTTTGGATTGGCATTGATTAAAACTAAGTTATTATTTAACTAATTACACATAGTTTGTCACAAATCTAAATTATAATTATTTGGGTACTCACACATTAAATTATGTATTATTTAATTATTTTAAAAAATTAAAACTTTTTGTCTATATTTTTTAATGATTAGTGTGTCAAAATGTTGAGCTTAAATACTATGATGCTATAAAACTTTCTCTACCAATATATCTATAGTAATTTTATATATTGGGTTTTAGCAAGCTACCTTATATGTTAAATTTGCCACCTATTAATTTTGGCTCAATTATGCTCATTTTACAATTTATCATGACTAAAGCCCCACACTTAATAATATTTCAAATACTAAATTTTCTCTTAGAGTTTCCGCGCATACAAATATTTGGGATAATTCAATTTACTTCGAATTTACACTAGACATATTAAAAAATATAGAAAAGATTGAAATTTGGAATTTAAACAAGTATTGCAACTCTCTATTAAGTATTGCGACCTTTGATAACTCTTTTACTTAATATTACAACTCTTTATTAAGCATTGCGACCCTTGATAAAACATATCCTTTCACGAAGTGTTGCAACTATTTATTAAGTATCACAACTCTTTGCTCAGTTGCAATGTGTCATGTTATTATTGGAGCATAACAATGATTATGTATTTAATTAATCTCTCTATTAGTTAATAATTATAATAATCTCTCATTTTTTCTAATAATGACAAGACCAATTTCAGTAAAGAAAACGAATAATGTTAATACAATTAGGTATATTTCGATTTAAACTTAAACTTACCAAAGACAACACAAAATCTAATCGAAATTTCAGGTAAGAAAGCTATGAACCTGTTATTACTTGTGATTAGATCGGTGTTACCTTACACACACTCTTTAGTGGTTCTTCGCCTAGATGTCCCACCTAATACTATTTATGGCCATGTGCTTTTCTTGTTTCATGAATTTATCATGAGAGAAACTCCAACTCTCACTTTTAGATGAAACCATCGCAAATTTCACATAAGTGAAGTTCATATCGTGTATACTTTACTTGTGATACATATTCTCGAAATTGTACTTCGTTAAAAGTTTAAAAAATGGAACCCTCCAAATGCATTAGTTAACATCATTAAACAATTTTATGGAGATATCCAAATCAACAATTTTTTTTTACCCATTTACTAGTACAAAAATACGTTTTTAGTAGAGGTTGTTAAGTCAGTTCACCTGCCATATGACTTGACAAGTGACGCGGTGGCAATTGTGTAAATATTTGTAACTTAGTTAGGTCGGGTGCATTTAAAACTGAATTAACGAAGATGAAATAAAAAAAGTTAATTCACATTAAATTTCTTAAGTCGTTTGTATTCACTAACTGACTTAAAAGTCTATTTTATTAAGTCAGATGTTGTCCACCTGGCCTAAGAAGTTTTATTTACTTTTATCAAATTAAGTTTCAATATATCCTACAAGGCAATCCTCCGCCAAATTGTCCTACGAGGGAATCCAACCTACCATATCAATCTTAGTTTTTTCCTCTATAAGGCGATTCTCCGCCAAATTAAACTCAAGCTCTACTTTTTCATTTTTTCATCATTCCACCAGTTATTATGGATAGGGTTGGAAATGAGTCGAGTCGAACTCGGCTCAACTCGGTTTAGTTCTTTAAGAATTGGTTCAGTTTAAATCTTGCTTCGAGTTTGACATGGATTTTTTTAATCTCAAACCCTACTTGTTATAAGTTCACTAACAATTTGGTTCATCTCTTTAGGTTTAGCTCACTTGCTTCACAGACTTAAAAGTCACGTTTTAACTCTATTATTTTTTATATATATTTGACATTTAAATTAATATTTTTTAAAAGAAAATATTGCAATATAATAAAAGTTATTAGATTGGAATTTAACTTTGTTTTAAAAATCTATTAACTCAAAAACTACACAACTTTCAAGTGATACATTTGAAAGTTTAATTCAAAAACGACTTAATTTAGAGTTTAAATTTGTCTCAATTATCCACAATTTCATCTAAATATTTAGGAAGCTTACAAATTTGATGAAATAGTACACCAAACATTACTAGAAATTGATACATTATACATGTTTTTTTTGTTAAGGTGAGAGTCAAAGGCCCAAAGAAATATACATGTTATTTTAACAAATGCCATAATGCCTCTAAAAAGGATGACTCTAAATGCAATTGTCAGCTTTGCTGTCATAATTAATACGAAAAGGGAAATATAGGATTATGATTTGGAGTAAATATTTGTTGTGATCACAAACGATACCTTTCAACAAATAAAGATTGAGAAGCAGAGTTCTTGGGTGAACAATGAAAATGGTTAGAACAAAGAGAGAAAGAAGAAAGGATAAAGAAGAAAGAAAGAAGAAGAAGGATTAAGGCAAATTGCTATACTATTCACTTTCTCAATATTACAAAATATTACAAGTGAATAACATAATTGACCTCACTTGACAACCTGAGTGAACTAGCCTATTTATGGACTAACTAGCTAACTTACAATACAAGCTAACTAAACAATTGAATCCTTAACACAAAGCTCAATTTGACATAATAAGTCAACAATATATATTTCATCATTACATACTAGAACTAGCTTCGATTACAGTATATAACCCTTCGACATCAGCATGTGACCCAGCTTCGACTTCATGCTTGTCTTCTATTAAAACACATGAAAGCTATTCCTCGACAGAGTTAGAGTACGACCCAAAATCTCACAAATCTCCGCCTTGGATCTAACTCTATAACAACAAGAAATAAACTAGCTTTCATCATACAGCTTTATCAACTGCATATAGTAGAAAAACATGCAACTTGACAACGTCTTGGTGATCATATCAGCAACATTGTGGTTAGTCGAAACCTTCAGCACTGGACTTCACCACACTCGATTATCTCTCTGATGAAGTGAAGCCACACATCGATGTGCTTGGTTCGCTCATGATAGGCTGAGTTCTTTGACAGGTGCATTGCACTTTTTCTATCACATTTAACACTGAAGAAGTTTCAAATCCTTTGCAAAACCTTTAAGACCTAATGCTTCTTTCATAGCTTCAGTGAGGGCAATATATGATGCTTTAGTGGTTGATAAGGAAAAAATTTCTAAAGTGTTGCTTTCCGACTGATCGTTGTGCCGAACATAGTAAACACATATCCTTCGATTTCGACTATGCTATCACCATCATAGGCAGGACTCGACTCAGATACTCATTTATGTACCTGAGAATCCATTTCAAAACTTGCTAGTGTGCATTTCCAGGATTGGGCATATACCTGCTTACAAGGCTCACACCATACTCTATGTTTGGCCTCGTACATACCATATCATACATCAAAGGACCTATTACACTAGCATATGGAATGCTACTCATATAAATTCTTTCAACTTCAGTACTCAGATTTTGAGTAGTACTAAGCTTAAATTGAGGATTTGTTGGAGTCACAACAGGCTTTGAATTCGACATACCAAACTTGTCGAGAAGTTTATGTAGGTATGACTCTTGAGATAAGCACAACTTTGACTTCCTTCTATCTCTCTGGATGTCAATCCCAAGAATTCTGGTGGCAGCTCCCAAATCCTTCATTTTGAACTCCTTACTGAGTTCGACATTCACCTCTATCACATCCTTGACACTGTTGCTACCTATTAGGATATCATCCACATAAAGCAACAAAATAACAAGTGAATTTCTAGTTCGAAATATGAAGTAAACACAGTGGTAGAACTGTGAGGGTAATGCCTCAGACCTTATTTTAATGACGTCAAAACATGTCTAGATCGTACCTTGTAATTTGGACGATATCATCGGGTCTTAGCTTACATCTGTCATACCCCAAATTTGCCTAATTTTTTTTTTATCTCTAGCTCATTGTTAAAGGATCATCAAAGGGTTGTCAATGGATTCATGAAGATCTATCATTATTATAGGCATGCGGTAGGAGCTTGTTGAGTACCTCAGAGGTCATGGTGGAGTGGAAATGGTCACCCAGTTTATCTAAGCAATGCCTTGGCAAAAAGGATGGAATTAGGGTTTCATTTTTAATCAGGATAAATTTTTTTTGGGGAGCAAGACTTGTTTCCATGGTCTTCCATATGTCCTAAGGTGTTTAGGGATGGGATATTGATCATCAATTTTAATCAGAAGAACTTCAATTGATCAGTCAATTGAAAATCAAGAGATTTGGGGAAAAGTCAATTATGCAGTGAAAAAGTCAACTCCTGACTTTTTAAGGTTAAAATCATGTTCCTCAAGTTCAATATGACCAATGGATGGAATTTGATCAATAAAAGTCAAGGTAATCATGAAAAATCAAGAGTTGTTGAAAGTTGCTATTTTGGGGAATTAGGGTTTTAGCAACTTTCCATTTATGGAAAGTTTCAAGGTTGAAGCAGCCATCTTCAAGGCCATTTTTCTTCATGATCAAGGTTTCAAATGGACTTGGATCAAACATCAAAGTTGTTCCTTATATTTCAAGCTTTCTTTTGAGTACCAATTTATAATCATACGATACTTGGAGCTCAAGTTATGATCAATCAAAGTTGAGGATTTCAATGATCTCAAAATTGTCAAGTCTGGACAAATTTTTGCGCCACTTTGCAAGCCAAATTCCATCAAG